TACGGCTACATCAAATTGAAACAGTGGTTCCCATATGATCACCGAATTTAAGCAACATCGAACTTGGTCACTACCTAGATGGGTAACCGCTTGGGAATACCAGGTGCTGTAAGCTTGGAACTCAGATCTAATTCCGTGCTTTTATTCGTTACATCCCCCGCACATCTAAACTTACAACATCTGGTATTCCTAAGTGGTCACCGATCGAGGTACTGGCCAGGTGCGACGTTGCTTAATTTCACTGATCGTACGAGAACCGCTGTTTCAACCTGATGTGGCCGTAGGCACCAGACATCAAGGAAATTGGGTGCAATAGATGATTAACTCGATTGCAAGCCACTGAATAAGGAAACACATGACCTCACATCTGTATCCGGTATTGCAAAAGTGAGTACGAGAATGCTGGACAGATCGGTTGTATAAACAAACATACCAGGCAGTCGGAGACAGTTTCCTCACACAGAGAATATAAGGTAGACGTATTGTCCGAGGCCGCTACCATACCACAGACTGGCTAAGAGTAACTGACGAACTACTGGAGTGAATAAAATGTTATGTAATGAAGATTCAAGCCTCATGTTATTATTCTATCAGTATCCTCAATTTCTTTACATGTTTTTCGGGACCACTGTTTATTGCTTCACGGTTAATCCCCTAAATAGTATTTGCTAAACCCAATTTGGGTTCCATAGTGAGGATCGAGACAATTAGTATTTATTCAGCGTAACTTAATCTGGTTCAAGGTTGCAAGGTTAGGAAACCCAGTGAGAATCAGCTTAGTATATAATAGCAATGATCTGCCGAAAGTTCAGTAACACATGCTCCTCGGCGATATGTCCCAACATTTACAGTGTATAGCTAAGAGAACAGTGATAAAATATTAATTGTTGGAATCTTAGAAAGAATGAGTGACTCAATGTAAGTGGAATTTTCGCAAACAAAAAGGCTTTGTTAAAGGCTTTTGTGAGACCCTAAATCCAAACCTGTGAGAAACCGGACCCTAAGTACAGTCATTGTGAGAAACAGAGATAACAATAGATGAAATATGATAGAAACTAGTTTAAAAGCTGCCTTATCGAGTGGCATTTACGCTAGCTCCTGCAGAGAGCTCTTAATTAGGCATTCGACTTATTCAGGAGTTTGAGAGACCTTATGTCTTTGCATATTTTAGTAAAAACAGAAAGCCCGAATAAACATAAAGATAAGTTTTATTCAACTTTATCAATACACGTGAAAAAAAATCAACTGCTTATATCTAGAGTCGACTGTTCCATTCTCAATAAGGGTGGAAGAGAGAGATCTCAATTACTTCTGAAAAGTACACATATTCTCAGCATTGGATGCTCTCCTGGCTGCCATTTCATATGTGTTTTCATTTGCACGGAACTTTCCTCGCTGCAGCCTTGGCTCTTTTGATTGCATTTTGGTCCTCTGTGGACGGAGATTTCTTTTCGCAAGTCATACTGCTGCCGTATGCGATAGGCAACAATAAACTACAGAAGAATTCAAAATTCATCACCGCATTTAAGTATTGCATTATTATTCAAGCTTACCTCTTAAAAGTTCAACATAATTCTACTTCCGCCACTTAAATTTAAAGACAATTTGACGTACGTAGGTCCCTAATTTCTGTACACAAAATTATTTTTATTTCACGGGTGGGTGACTTTTGCTGGATTTCGCAATTAATTTTGATAACTCCCCATTTTTCTAAGTTATAAAAATTGTTATCATACAAAAAAATTCGTCGCAAAAAAATCACGTAAAAAAATCGCCGAAAACAATCGCAGTAATGAAAACTTAAGAATCCAAAATTTCTGTACAATGAGCTATTGAAAGTTAGAGAGTTGTGTCCCTTTAATTGAAAAAGTGTGACACAGTGACACACTGACATTCGCATTTATTATATAGAAGGCAAATAAGGCGCAGTGGACAATGACAATAAAGTGATCATTTTTTTTTTGTTTGTTTTCTATTTAGTCATCTCTAGTTTGATCCGTTGAGATTGAAACACTTGCTGGTATACAATCCTTGAATATTTAGGATAAATCTCTCTCTCTCTCTCTCTCTCTCTCTCTCTTTGTATTTTTGTGTTTATCTATCTCGCTCGCTCTTCCTATGTTTCTTTACCTCTGTCTCTTTCTCTCTCGCTTGCTCTCTCTATGCCTCTCTCTCGTTCTCTTGCTCTGTGTTTCTCTGTCTCTCTGGTTGTTCTATTTTAATCAACAGTTTCTTTGTCACTCCTCTGTTTTCCATTGAACTTCCTCGTTTCTCACATGTTCTGCCCATATCATTCTTAACATTCGTCAGTAGAACCACATCCTTTTCATTGAAAGTTTTTTTTTTTTAATTTTTCATTGTGACGAATTGATCAGATTTCACAGATTCATATTATTGGCTAGAAAACAAACCCTCTTCCTACTTAAGAAATTATCCGCCCTTCTCCAATTTGACATTGTACAGATTAACTTCATCCCGCGAACCACTGCTTTGTGGAACCGACTCCCAAGAGGATGTTTCTCCTATCAGTAAAATCTTAACCTGTCCACGACTAGGTTTAACCGTTATCTTCCACTCCTCTCCGCACGAATTGCCCCCTGAAGTAACCCTCTACCTTGAGTGCACCCCCGGGCCTTGTAAAGGGTGAAGCTTACTGTAAAAAAATAGTAAGTACCAAGAAGGAGAGGCTTGGTGTAGAACGATGCTAGTTTCGTCTAAACATTACCATATACGCGAGGATAATAGGGTAGATATGTAAACCGCGGATAGTACTGAATTCTGGGCTTACTGCTTTTCTTCTGCATACATAAGGTTACGAAAACCCGTAGACGTAAAAAGAAAAGCATCGTTTTACGGCACTAAAAAAAAAATAAGAAAACGCAACTGTGTGCCTTAGCGGACTTAGAGGTAGGCAGAAGATGCGGGTGGTAAATTTTGGGCGCAGCGTTTAGTTGAATTAGTTTCATAAATGAGCATACAAAATTAACTGTGCGATGTTAGAGAGGGGTGGCAACTTCTACGACCGCTCCCCCAAACAGCACAAATGCTTGGTACACCGCCGATTGTCTGTCAATATTTTATATAAGTGTTTCGTTATTTAGAATATTTACTTACTGACTATTTATTTATTTATTTATTTTTTTAGCATTTCACCCCAAGCAAGGCAGGAAGCCACTAAGACGCGAGAGGTTACAGAAAATTTAGAGCAAGATCAGATAGGAGTGATAGAAGAAAGGATGAGGGTAGTGGATAGATCAAGGCAACTGGCCTCATCTTTGTTACAATCGCAACATTTCGACCGTTACGTACTGTCTACTTCAGGAACTGAACTCAGAATTACTTTTCCCCCAAATTCACGAAACAACACCTTAATCTACAAGGCTGTTGTCCCAGTGTGTATTTGGTCTCAATGGAAACGGATCGAGCAATAACTGGACAGTAGAAAAAAGGTTATTTATTTCTGTGCTATAACAGAAAAAGTGGGGAATGGGGAAGAGGTCGGTCTTCTGTCTTAACTTCAAAACTTAGCCAGCCACAAACGCTGACCTAATCATACTAACAATATTTCTTGCAACAAAACAACACATTCTTACTTACCTTTCTCACCACACCCACCATAATATCTCAATGACTCGACAGTAGTAAAAAGAATTAGACAATATATCCTTAGATATGATCAGGAAAACGAGAACAACAACAACAAAAGATTCAGTTCGAAATTTCCTGAAGGTCACGCTGACCGACAAGCACCTGATGAAGGCCGGAGAGCACAACGACCAAAGTGTAGTGATAACAACAACAAAAATGAGGTCAATAGTTCGCATGTAAATAATGAAAATTCCTAATCCCATAAATTCAAACAGAAAAGAGTTTCTTTCTATAGAAATTAAAAATTTGCTTCCTTTCCATTTTCGCTCGATCGCATTTTGAATTCTTCTAAATTTTAGTCAATTTTAGAATTTACATAAACTAGAAATATTTTGCAATACGCGGACGGGTGTTGAAATCCTTAGTCTTGTTGAAGTTATCGGTAATATTTTTGTCAAGATTTACAAACTACATTTAGTTCAATTTTGCAAACCAATCGATGAAATTTGAATCAAATGTTTTGGAAAATACTTTGACAAAAGCACTTCTTTGGTTTTTAATCATTTATTTAATTTAGTTTTTATAGGACATCATTATAAACAAAATTTTAAGAAATTTTCTTTTTTTTCCTTTTTAACAGCGAGGAATAAATTCTTAGCATTTTTTGCTCTTGAGCATACAACATGCAACTGGCCATACATAAATATTTCTTTCTGGAGCCAAATTCCAACATTTTGAAGCATTTGACCTTGTGATTTCTTTATAGTTCTCTCAAACGCAGGGCGAACCGGAAACTGAATTCTTGTATACGTAAAAACTTAAAGAAAAGATATGCAAAAAACAATATTGCATTTTTATTAAATACGTATTTGATATTTTCATTATTATTTTTTTTAAATATTGGGAGTATTTTGTATGTTAAATAATAAAACTTTGAATTCCCCCCACCCAAGTAAACGAACATTTATTCTATTCTACTAATAGATTCTACTAATCTATGTAAAGTAGTAAAATCAACGGTATTTTGTATGCCCCTTACTGTTTGCACTTCTCCCCAAAATTTGATTTTGGCCAGTCAATGTATGGCTATTTTAGAGGATGTGTAAGGGACGGACTAACGGATGTCATGGAATTTTATATATAGATAGATGAACATCATCAATCACTTGTTTACTAATTTGTAGAAGATTTAAACTGAACTTACCCGTCCTCGAAAATCAGCCTGATTTCTCAACATCACCAAGTTTATAAATAATTTTTATCAGTCCTCTCTAAACTTTTGTCTTATGCTAGCTCACAAAATTCCTGTAGGTCTTCTAAGATCTTCAAAGTTCGTTTTTCTTCAGGAAATGATGGAGTTTTTTGATGATTATTTTAATGTTGTTCAATGTGTATACTATGAATGTTATTCTTCCATTTGGCATTGATGACAAAACCATTTCCATAATATTTACTGTCTATTTCTAAAGCAATAACGTATTCCTCTATTACAAGTATTTGTGAATGTCTGCCAGTTCGATAAAAAAAAAAACTTGCATGTACTGTTTGTTGATTAGACAAGGATATTTCTCTTTTCGAATTGATTAGACGAGATGAAAGAGGAAACTATTATTTTTGTAAACTGTGATCCTCTTGTTGCAAAAGGCTTATACTGAACTGTCATGTAATATCAGTCCTCCTATATGGCAGTAAATGC